ATTATGTTGTATAGTGTTCTGTTAATGAAGAACTGTGTCCTTTAGCCTCAGCTCTTAAACTGGATTTAGGATTTTAGGAATAGCTGGCGAAGCCACTGACACTAGCTAATAAAGACACCTGTGCGTTGAGCTAACCGCAGTGTAGCACCTGTTCCAGTTTGTCGTGGATCGCGATGAAGAAGAATGAAGACTGTCTTTGAAATTGCACAGCTGACTAATGAACTCGTTGCAGTGAGCTGATTGGTGCTGGTTCTTTCCAAGTTGCATTTGATGGCATGTTTAACAGAACCTCCATCTCCACCCTGTACATCATCGGTTCACTGTTACACCCATAGTCACTGCTGTAAAAGACAGCTTAGCATGTTTGCGACAGGTGTATTGATGATTACTGTTTATTTGTATTTTATGGCTGATTGGTTGCTGTAAGTACCTGTGTTAATGTTATATTTGGGTGTCTTTCACTCTCCACAGTCATGAAGTGAAGTTTATACACTCCACACCTTTTACTCTTCAGAGCACACACTTTGTTTGGTTTCATATTAGGCCTGGGTGACGAGTCATAAACGATACTTATGGGTATTGAAATTTTGAGGTATTTTCAGTGAAATGATGGCTGCTGTTCTGGTCCTCAGCAGAAGGAGTAACGACTTGAACTGAACTGTCACAAGAGCACAAACATGAGGGACACTCAGCAGAGTTAGTTACTGAGCTATTTCTATGTTTTCTTTCTGTATTTTAAATAAAAAAATATTTTTTTACTTTTTTACAAAATACCCTAGTTATTCTATATAAGTATCCAATATTGAATTATATTTCATCATGCTATTATTTTTGACATAGTACATCTGATCATGATACGATGCTGTGAAAAAGTATTTGCCCCTTCCCAATTTCTTCTATTTTTTCATATTTGTCACACCTTGATGTTTCAGTTCAACAAACTACTTTTAATATTAGACAGAGATAGCCAAAGACAAACAACATGCTGTTTTTCAATGATGATCAGTTATTGAAGTAAAACTGCTGTTCAGCCCTACCTGGCCCTATGTGAGAAAGTAATTGCGTCCTTAGCTACTAAAACAACTAGTTAATTTCAATTAAGTTCAATTGACTGTTGGGTTCAATTTCGCTCACCACACCCAGGCATGATCACTGCCAGACCTGCTGAATCCAGACATCGCTTAAATAGTTCCTGTCTGTCAGTGTGAAGCAGCTAGAAGGTCTCAAAAAGCAGCACATGATGACGGTCTAAAAAGATTTGAATACCGAAGCGAAATGAAGTCGTTGAAATCCATCAGTCTGGAAAGGGTTACAAAGCCATCACTAAAACTCTGGGACTGTGGTGAACTACAGTGAGAGCTGTTATCCTCAAACGGAGAAAACTTGGAACAGTGGTGAACCTTCCCAGGAGTGGCTGGCCTACCAAATTTCACCAAGAGCACATCGACATCTCATTCAGGAGGTCACAAAAGAATCCAAATGAACGTCTGAGGAACTGCAGGCCTTACTTGTACACGATTCAACAATGAGAAAACTAACACTGCATTCACATGAGAACATCATACCAACAGTGAAACATGGTGGTGGTAGTGTGATGGGCTGGGGCTGCTATGCTTCTGCAGGACCTGGACAGCTTGTCATATTTGAAGGAACCATGAATTCTGCTCTCTATCAAAAAAAACAGAAGGAGAATGTCCGCCCGTCAGGTCATGACCTAAAGCTCAAGCGCAGTTGGGTTATGCAGCAGGACAGTGATCCACAGCACACAAGCAAGTTCACCTCTAAATGACTCAAAAGAAACAAAATGAAGGTTTGTAGTGGCCGAGTCGAAGTCCTGACCTCCCATTGGGGTGCTGCGACAAGACCTTAAACGGGCAGTTCATGCTTGAAAACCGTCCAATGTAGCGAAATTAAATCAATTCTGTGAAGAAGAGTGAAACAAAACTCCTCCACCGTGATGTAAAAAAGACTCATGGCAAACAGTTGATTGTGCCTAACAACCGCAATCAGTCATTAGGTTTAGGGGGCTATTACTTTTTCACATGGATGATAAAGGTTTTGAATAAGGGGTTAAAACTCTTGATCTAGTTTTCTGGGTCAGTGGTGACAGTTTGTAAATAACTACACAAAAGTGAAGGGGGTCAGAGTGAGAGGGAGGAGGAGATGAGCCAAGAGGGCAGTTAGTCCAGAGCTTTAATTGGAAAACTATAAAAAGCTATTGGGACACAGAGTTTATGAAGGGAAGCCAAGAAGGAGTGTGAGGCGAAGTGAGAGTGAGATAGAGGACAGGATGTGTACGTGTACTGCACACTGTGAATATGTATAAATATATGTGAGAAGCTTTCAGAAGAAAAATATGAGTAAAAATGATTTTAGTCCTTGCAGTTTTGGAAGCTGTGTTGAAATGAGGCAGAGAAAAAAGAGGTTTTTATCTATTTGTTTATTTATTTATTTAGATTGTTGTGAGTGTTGTAGCATTGTAGCATTGTGAATCGCTGATACTTTGCATCTGTCAACATGTCCATGAAGTCTAAAGATTTAAACGTTAGAAAACGAGCCGTTCGTGGCTTTAAGATGCACAAAAGTCTTAGTAGTCCATGATACTGCATTTCATCCAGTCTTTCTCCCCTTGCTGAAGATGATTGTGCGTTTAAAATGATTTTGATCATTTTGATGATTTTGACGTTGTGATTACATCATAATTGTTAAAAGCAAAGGCAGATTAATAAAGACCAGCTTAATATTCTAATAACAATAGGCTACAATAACAACAGCGTGTAGTAAGACTTAGTCTGCGGATTAATAGACTGGAAAAGTGTGTGTGTGTATGTGTATGTGTGTGTGTGAGTGTGTATGAGTGTGTATGAGTGTGTGTGAGTGTGTATGAGTGTGTGTGAGTGTGTATGAGTGTGTATGAGTGTGTGTGAGTGTGTGTGTGAGTGTGTATGAGTGTGTGTGAGTGTGTATGAGTGTGTGTGAGTGTGTATGTGTGTGTGTGAGTGTGTGTGAGTGTGTATGAGTGTGTATGAGTGTGTGTGAGTGTGTGTGAGTGTGTATGAGTGTGTGTGAGTGTGTGTGAGTGTGTGTGTGTGTGTGTGTATGAGTGTGTATGAGTGTGTGTGAGTGTGTATGAGTGTGTATGAGTGTGTGTGAGTGTGTGTGAGTGTGTATGAG